ACATCATCTTTCCAGTGAAGAAAGGATCCACAAACAATGACTCTGTTCCAACACATGGGTCAAATGTATTACTCTTAATGATTTGCTTTCTCTTTCTCTCTTTGAAGTCAGTTACAATTTGGAGGGCAACAGCAGAAGATAAAAGGCACACTTTGTCCAAAAGTGGATCTTCAGACAAAGAGAACCATATAAAGCTGGGGCTCACGGTCAGAATTAACTCTTATTGCAGCGAAGTTCTTTCCGCTGAAGAACACACACACACAAAAAAAAAGGCAGCACTGGGGACTTGCTGTTGATCAAGATTATTCTTCAAGCAGACTCTAAACACTCTGGAACATCGACAGTGCTGGCATACACAAAGGAAGGGGAATGAGCCAACCCACATGGCTTTACTGGTGAGTCAGCAAGTTCAAATCCCACTCCAGGACCAGTCTAGAACACAAAAAAAAACAGACCCCCCCCCACCCTCAAGCAGGGTGGTGCATTGTCTAGAGATGCTGGCTTTCAGAGACGTACACCAGAGCTGGTTCGATTTCTCAGCGCGAACACGGTGACCCCGTTTTGGGTGATTAAACGTTGCTGCCAGCCCTCAGTGGGAGCAGGGTGGGAATGGAAAGGGATGTTGGCTTGTAGGAAGCACAACCGCAAGGTGCCCGACCACCGCCCCCCCCATTCAGGAAACCCCAACGTCAAACAGAGACATTGTCAGACTGCATGGGTAAGTGTGAATCCGCTGAATACATCCTGATGCCATCGCTAATCCCCTACAAAATCAACAAATTGCAGACCACCTGGATCACCATCGCATTGTGGGAGCTTGCTGCGCACTAAAAGGGTTGCTACATTTCCTGCAAACAAACACTCCATTGGCCGCAAAGGAGTGACGGCCAGTGGGCGTACAAGGCTCCACACAAATGCAAGGATTTCTTGGCCCACAAGCACTGAGAGTACAGTCAGGGAGGTTCTCCATTTAAGCTCCCCCCAACCCCAACCAATCCCCAAAGAGCACAAGCTTGGTCAATCATCACAGACAGATGACACACATACTCTAACGGAAGCCAGCAAAGGACAACAAATTGGAGGTCAAAAACATACAGGTCGCCCAATAACTAACTCTCTCGTTTCTGGAAAGAGCACAGAAACAATCAACTATTGCTTCCCACGCCCCACTCCACCCCAAAAACAGAGGCGTTCATTGATTCTATCGCTCCTTCGGGAGACTGCTATGTGTGAATGACTGCTGTGCTGGAAGATTTGGACAAGTTTAAATCGGCGGTCATGGTGTAGAGACCATTAAAACACCGTGTCAAGCTACGTAGTTTGGCCAAGTTTGGTCTCAAGTGGCTGGATGGACTGAACTTCCTGCTGAGTTGAACTAAGACCTGCTTTGGTCTCACTTAATGCAGGAAGAGCCCCAAGGGGATAGCAGTGTCTCAGGGGCGGGTGCCCAGAATGGCCTCCGCTTCTTGACAAGCAGTGCCCAGCTTGAAACAGAAGATAAATTACAACCGAGCCCTTCAAACACTGGGATTAGACAATGGTGGGAATAAAAGCAAATAGGTGAACTTGAATGACTCATAATTGGTAACTTTCAACATTTTGTCAGCCTTTCTTGCAATGCAGGAATATGATCGGGGAGGTCAAATTGATAAAGTCAAAAATAGTTATACAACACATTTTGACAATAGCAAAGCTTGCTGGGGAAATCGTGATCAAAAGCAATGAAATTTTTCTGCCGGTTCAGTTTATTTACAGATGATATTGGTACGTGAGAAACTGCCAAGGAAAAATGCAGACGGCCTCCACGCAACAGTGCGAGGGAGCCTGGGAGTGCAGAATTCTCAGCCAAAACGTTTACGCAGAAGACAGCTGCCCTCCTCCCCCTCGTTGTCTCAAACTCTTTGAAGACCAGTCAAAACTGTCGCACGCATCGCAAGGTGGCATCGCAAATGCTGCTCTTTCAAATTTGGAATGCCGAGAAAGCAAACGTCAGTAAGAGATCAATGACCCCGGTGCTGTTTGTGGGATCCTGCTGTGCACAATTTGATTGTCACGTTTCGCCCGCGTCACAACAGTACCCATAACTCAACAACAAAAAGGACCTGCGAGGCCATGAAGAAGGAAGTTACGTAAAACGCGTGCCTCTTTTTCTTTAGAGAAACCGGTGGCTCGTAGACATTTGGAATGCTTGCCAAGACCACCAGGACAGAGATGACGGACAAGTTGGGGGTGGGGGTCGGTGCAGGAGGTAGAAGCAAGTTATCCCATTATGTTTCTCACTGTGCCTCCGGGATCAATTTTCTCACACGCGCACAGACACAGAGAAATCTACATTATTCCACTGCACTCCTCCACCTGCTGCATGCACTCTTTACGGTGTGAAAAATAAGCCTGCTACTGTCAGGAGACATTGCAATCACGAGGCTAGTTCACCCCAGGCTCTCAAAAGGAGATTGCTGTTTGCTGACGGGGACCCAGCCTTGCTCACTGTTGGTTGAAACGTCCCCTCAAAAATAGATTCAGATGAAGGCAGCATTTTGGCTCGTTGTCTCAAACTCCTGCCCCTCGGAGTGCCCTGCCATCCAGGAGATGGAGGGGCAAGGGCACCATGTCATCCCCACTCCCTGGTCAAGTAGGTGAGGAACTTACTGACTTCAGTTCACAACCTGCTCCTCTCTCCCCAAGTCTGAGCTTAACAGGGCACCAGCTGGGATCCTGCCAGAGGGCTAGGTCCAAACTTGGAAACTATGCACTTAAAACAAAATGCCAAGCCTTTGGAAGTGGGTCAGAATAGATGGTACTTGGATGAGGGAGTTCAGTACACATGGATTGCTCTCCTTGGAACAGAGTCATACAGCATGGAAACAGGCACTTCAGTCCAGCTCATCCAAGCCGACAATATTCCCAAACCAAACTAGTCCCACCTGCCTAGGCTTGGCCCACATTCCTCCAAACCATTCCTATTCACATACTCACCCAAAATGTCTTTTAAACACTGTAGCTGTACCTGTATCCACCACTTCCTCTGGCAGTTCATTCCACCCGCCAACCATTGTGTGTGTGAAAACGTTGCCCCTCAGCTCCCTTTTAAATCTTTCTGCTCACAGCTTAAAAAATACGTCCTCTAGTTTTGGACCTCCCCAACCCTAGGAAAAAGGCCCTTGTCATTCACCTCATCTATGTCGCTCATGATTTTATAAACCTCTAAAGGTCACCCCTCAACCTTGGACGCTCCAGTGAGAAAAGTCCCAACCTATCCAATCTATTTTTGTATCTCAAACCCCCGCAATCTGGGCAACATCCTGGTTCAGAAAGGATCACCATTTCCAGCCTAATAATATCTTCCCTATGACTGGATGACCAGAACTGCACACAGTACTCCAGAAGAGGCCTCATCAACATCCTGCACAACGTCAATATGATGTGCCAGCTCCTATACTAAAAAGGTCTGAGTAATGAAGGCAAGTGTGCTAAATGCCTTCTTAACCACCCTGTCCACATGTGATAGAAATCTCTAAGAATTACATCCTTGATCCCTTTGGTCAGGGTTATAGATGAGATTCGACACAGGCTATCAAAATCTTGACGGGTTTTGACAGGTTAAACACATGGAGAAAAAGAACTGTTGGCTAAAGGGTGACGCAGACTTAAAAGATAAAATGGGCAGAACCAGAGAAGGGAAGCAAGCAGAGTTAACCACACTGTGGTATGGAACACGATCAAATAATAAAAAAAGAGACCAAGTTGTCAGAGCTAATCAGGACAAACACATGAATACCAAAATTTCACAGGGAATAGTTTATACCACACGAGAGAGAAAAAGAAAGTCAATTGGTTAAAAGGTGTTGCCATGGAGAATACACCAGGAAATGACTGCGGCCCAGACTGTTGTCCAATTCAAAATAAAAAAGTACAAAATGCCTGGATGTCTACGTTTTGGCTGCAGGACACAGATAATTGTATGGGAAACAGGTGATAGGCACCCTCTGTGCATCAAAAGGTTCCATGGCGAACTGTACGCAACATACACACACATGCAGGACAAGATACGGCAGCAATTTCAAAGTACAGGAAATGTTCGTACGTCAGATATTTAAGTTATGGCCTGGCATGGGATTTTGTTTGTAAGAATGAACGTCCAAGAGGTCAGGGAACCCCCCTGCCTGTACATTGTAGTTTATTGGGAAACATTATGAACCTGCTGACAAATCACACTTTGGTTGGAAGTGTAATTTAGTGTTATTGTTCAGCACATGCCAAATTGTGCTATCAGCTGATGGAAGCAGTTTCTGACTATTTTGTCTCAAACCTGTCATCATCCTGTACGGCTACATCTAATCTCCCCTTTGTGCCAACAACCTCCACTTCTCCAACCTAGTTTTCTTTTATAAATTAAAAAATCGGCCATTCTTGTATATCTCACTCGCACCTTCGTAACATTCTTAAAAGTGGACACGGTACTCTAGTTGTGGCCTAACCAGAGTTTTTGTAGCAAAACGTTTATAAATCAATGCCTTGAATGCTGTTCGTCTTTCCAACCACTTCCTTAAACATACCGTTATGTTTGATAATCTTAGCGTCCAAAATGCCCCTCCATCTTTGGGACAGTGCCACATAAGCAGCCAAATATTTAATACTCAAAGCAACAAAACAAACAGTCAAGTGGAAGTGGAGTCATAACTACATCGACGTTCTCATTCAAGCTTTGCTCGGGGTTAATGCTAAGCAAAGTAAGGTCTTTCCATTATTTGCAAAAATTATACAGCCTACAAATAAACAGGGTTTAGAAAAAGAAGCATTTTTGGTATCGCCATTCCTATTCAGGAACAATGGGGAGCTTCCCTTTGACCAAATTCCTTAGAAACTAGGTCAATCAGGCTCGGGAAAACTAACCGGGCTCCCCTGCCCCCTCTCTCACCAACTTCCCAAATAACCTCATTGTTTCCTGGGATGAGCGCGCAATCTCGGGTCAGATCTCAGACTGGAGGAACAGGACTCACCACGGACTACAATGTCCATCTTCGCACGGCCAGTGCCCAGGTTGTTGGTGGCTTCGCAGGTGAAAGTGCCATTGACGGAGTAATCCACGTCCTTTACGGTCAGCTGGTGCCCATCCACCTGGACGGTGGAAGGAAGGCGTTGCCCATTCCTATGGAGAGAGGCAGGTAGCACTGTCAGAAAGAGATGGGGCAAGGTAGCGTGCAGAATGACATTCTGCACAAGACTCTCACCGGGACCGGTGTTTGTACAGGAGCCTCAGAATTGGATTAATCCAAAGCCACAAGGAGATGGCATGACTTAGCGAGCAAATCTGGTCAGGGGTTAGTTTTAAGCAAAGCTTAAAACAGAAGGAAAAACAAAAAAAAAAAAAAGAGGGTGTGCAAACAAGACTAAGGAGGACACTCGAGCTGCTGGTTGAACACTTGGTCACATTTCAGAAGGTCTTACAGCTCAGAAATGGCCCTGCAACCCATCAGGTCTGCATTAATCCCATTTATCAGTACTTGACCCATAGCCTTGAATGGTACGACATTCCAAGTGCTCATCCAAGTACTTTTTAAAAGGTTGTGAGGTTTCCTGCCTCAACTACCCTCCCAAGCAGTGCATTCCAGACACCCCCCACCCCCACCATCCTCTGGGTGAAAACCTTCCTTCCTTCAAATCCCCTCTAAACCTCCTGCTCTTCACCTTAAATGATGTCTCCTCATGACAGGCTGCTGTTCACCCTTTACTGAAGGATCACTCTGTCTGTGCCCCTCAGTCAGGTCATGGTTAGTTTAGACCAGGGCTCCGATCAGTAAGCGGCATCGGGGGAAAAGTGCGCAAGCGGTAAAACTGTTGGAATCGGGAGCTCAATGTGAGGAAGGGACAGGTCATCTAGACTGGGCCCAATGCAGAGCAAAACCTAACTGGAGGGAACTGGAGAAGCCAAAACAAAAGGAAAAGAGACGAGTGTTATCTGCGTACAGAAAAATCAATAAAGGCAAACAGATATTGGGCCCACTCTGGAGAAATTTGGGAGATGATACCCACAGACAACAAAAGTGGTGCATACAGGAACCAGCAGAGGACTGTTTACAAGAGAAAGTCAGAAAGCCGAGTTAGATTTTCTGTTGGGTTAAGGGGACCCCTCGATTTAACTCATTATGCTCCATACTTCAGTTGAACCACCCTCATTAACCAGCTGTGCTAGACCATTTACTAGTCTGCACAGAAACACCAGTGCCGCTCTGTCGGATCCTGCATTCTGGATATTCACACGTTTTCCTCTCAAAGCATCCTCAGCAAGATCAAAATAAAGTTAACTCACTTCAGGAATTTAACACTCACATTAACCATTTGTAATTTGAAGCTTGAGGGTTGGCTTTGGCGGTACAAGTCAACGAAGCATGCTCCCGGCCCTGATACCAGTTTTCATCGTATCCCTCAATGATCACAATAGGCGCATCTAGAAATTCAGAGATACAGATTTACAGAAACGTTTTGCACCATGCCCCAAACAGATCCAGGAGCAAAAATACTCATCCCTGCTTTGAGCTCTATCCCTGTCACCACTTCCAGCCCACTCCCTATCTCTGTCACCACCTCCAGCCCCATACTGTGATTCCCATCACTCCTCCATTGGGGGCCATGCCTTCAGCTTCCAGGCCCTGAGCTCTGGAATCCCCTCCCTCGCAAGGCTGTTTGTTGAATGCTCTCTGTCTGACCAAGCTTTAGGTCACCTCCCCCTGATCCCTCAGAGTCTCGGTTACATTGAAACATTCATGTGGAAAAAAAAAATCATTGAATTCCAATCATGCAGAAAGACGGCCACTTGGCCCATCTAGTCTCCACTCTCCCCAAGGGTCAAGGATCCCACCACAATCCTGCATTGCCAGTGGCCAATCCACTGAACCTGGACTGTGGGAGGAAACCAGAGCACCCGGAGGAAACTTTACGCAGACACGAGGGGAGAACGTGCAAACTTCACACAGACAGTTGCCCGAGGGTGGAACGGAGACCAGATCCCTGGTGCTGAGACAGAGAGAGAGAGAGAGTGCGAGCAGTGCTAACCACTGTTAAGCCTGTGCACACATTAGTAATTAACACGGTCAGAGACACAGGGAGACACAGAATTCCAAGTGCATCAATAGCTTTGTTCACCAAAAAAACCCTGAGGACGACAGGTTTGGGTGCAGGGAGTCTAGATGCACAATAAACCTGTTGGAATTGTATGACTCTCAAGGGCATATCAAAAACAGATGTCCAAGAGTGACACATTGAAATGGTTAGAGAAAGTTCGATTTCGGCAGCTAAGGGATGGGGCAGATAGCTGGGCCCAACCATGAGTACTTACACTGCACAGAGAGTATGATGGGAATGGTCTGAGGCTGTTCTAGAGCCTTTTGCCTTATGACACAGGTCAGCTGCTCTCCGTTGTTCTCGCCGCTGGGAATCAGCATGTATTCACTCTTCACCGTGAAGGTGCCGTTGCCGTGTGCGATGACAGTTTCGGAGATGTTGCCGGAGCCCTCGGACCAGGTAATGGAGGCTGGCGGTTTTCCAGCCAGTGAGACACACATGGCCACAGGGACCTCAGTGTGTCCAGCTTTGGCTGGGATCGCTTTGCCAATGTTCACAGGTTTGGCTGCGAGGGGGAGAAATAAACAATGAGCAAAAGGTACTTGGGGGGTTCAAAACGCCAAGGCCCGCCCCGTGAACCCACCGTGAGGATCGAGTGGGCTTCCCCAGGAGGGTCAAACCCCACCCCTCCCAGAACTTCACTTGCTCTCCAGAACGTGAGGTTATCATTGGTTAGAGTGACTCAGGCCTGGAATTAATAATCGGGAATTTATTCAAATTCAAATCCCACCCCCACTTTGGAGAAAGTGACTCCGCATTTTTTTTTTTTTTTTTTAAACACCCCCTCAAAACAAGACGACAAAGCAAGCCTGGAAAAAGGTGACGGCAAGGATTTAGGATTGCAGTTAGAAGCCTCGCTTGCGTCCCATTTAGAAGGGACGGTGATCTGCCCTCTCTCCGACCTCTGTAGGTGACTCCTGCCCCCCAGCCCCACACACCAATAGGGCTGACTGGCAGAGCGCCCCGTTCAGAGTCACAATGCTTCGTGAGGCAACTTTCCCCGGGGAACTAGGAGGTACAGCACTTCACAAATCCATGGCCTCCACCACAAAATGGGGAAAAAAACGGCAAGGGCATAAGTGAAACAGAATGGATAGGGTTCTTGCAAACAAGAGCCAGTACGAGCCCAGTCAGCCGAATGGCCACTTATAGTTGTTTCACAGGACGTGGGCATCACTGACTGAGCCATCCTTGAGAAGGTGGGGGGCGAGCTGCCTTCTTGAACCGCTGCAGTCCACGTGCTGTGGGTTGACCCAGAATCCCCCCCTTACGGAGGGAATTCCAGGATTTTGATCCAGCGACACTGAAGGAACGGCGATATATTTCCAAGTCAGGATGGTGAGTGGCTCGGAGGGGAACTTGCCAGGGGTGGTGTTCCCATGTTTCTGCTGCCCCTTGTCCTTCTAGATGGTAAAATGTGGCAGGTTTGGAAGGTGCTGTTTAATCTTTGGTGAGTTTCTGCAGAGCATCTTGTAGATGGTACACACTGCTGCGACTGAGCGTCGGTGGTGGAGGGAGTCGGATGTTTGTGGATGTGGTGCCAATCAAGCGGGGGCTGCTTTGTCCTGGATGGTGTCGAGCTTTGAGTGTTGTTGGAGCTGCCCCCATCCAGGGCAAGTGGGGAGTATTACCATCCCACTCCTGATTTGTGCCTTGTCGATGGTGAGACAGGCTTTGGGGAGTCAGGAGGGGAGTTACTCACACCACAGCAATCCTCGGCTCTGACCAGCTTTTGTAGTCAGTATGTTTATGTGTTAAGGCCAGTTCAGTTTCTGGTCAATGGTAATCCCCAGGTTGTTGGTAGTGGGGGATTCAGTGATGGGAGATATCCTGGGAGGCCCAGATTTGGAGAGAAGCAGGCAAGACAGAGATGGCGCTCAGCTCCAGCTCAAAGCCACCACACGTATATGTGGAAAAAAAGTGGAGAGTCCAGGGAAGGCTTTGGCTTTTTCCCCTACCTAGGATGGTCAGGTTGGTGGTAGCATCTTGGTTGCCATCAGGGTAGGTGGCAAACTCGCAGCTGTAAATCCCATCATCCGCCATCTCCAGGCGATCGATGATCAGCGTGGCGTCTCTGTTGTTGACCTGGCGGAAGCGGATGCGGCCACCAGTATCGGTGGGGTAGTTGATGCCATAGTCAGGGTTGTACACGGCCAGGTTGATCTTACTGGTGGTGGGGTCCTTCATCCAGGTAACCTGTGTGATCTGGAGCGTGCTGTCGGGGTCAACGATCTGGCACCGTAGGGTCGCCTGTTGCCCCACAAACCCATAAACGAAGGGTTCCACTTTCACGTTCTGAGCGTCACAAACTGTAGGGTGTAACGGGGCAGAGGGGAAAGAGACAAAACAGGCATCAGCGTAAAGCATCGAAAACCCAAGGCATCATTATCCACAATTCGGGAATTGGAGGAGAACCTACCCTTCAACCCTCGGGCCTGTTCCACCATTGGCCAAAACCACCCCCCCAGCCACTTCGCACCAACCCCTCCCATCCAATTTCCCAATCACTCCGTTGCATTTTTTTTTCCCCACGAAGACTGGGTTTCGTATTTCCATCACCTGCTTTGGATCAGGAAGTGTTCGCAAGTATTACCCCTTGGCTCAGGTCTCAGACCTTTACTTACATCCCCCACACCCCCAACCTCCTAAACCAAGCAACACGCCACCCACTATGGGCCAAATGAGACTAGATTAAATTCTGAATGTCTGGTCAGCACGGACAAGTTGGACCGAAGGGTCTGTTCCTGCGCTGTACATCTCTAACCACATGCTGGAGACTGGACAGCGTCAGAATTAGAAGGTACGGCGTCTTTGCATGGGCAAGAAGTATTTAAAAGAGTTCAAAACCTTGCCTCAGAGCACAGTTAGCTAGCTCAGGGAAGTTGTTAGGGGGGGCGTCACCTGATCAACATCTGTCCTGCTCTGGTGTTCAGTCAAGACCACAAAAACTGGTTCACCTACGAGAGTAAGCATTGGGCGGGTTAAGATTTTTTGCAGTGTATTATGCTTTAGCAAAAGAAAATTGGTTATATCCCATTAGAACTGCCCTTGGTTATTAATAACCAGAGCAAACCTGATCAAACCAGGGAAAGTGGGAATAAGAGCCAGCGAAACAACCTTTGAATATTTTATATTAGAGGGAGTAAAAGAACTTCAAATCAGAAGAATGGGCACTGGCTCTACATTGGAAATCAGACAGAGAATCCCTACCGGCCCACCATGTCCTCACCGACTCAGCAGACCCCATACCTCATCCCCGTAATCCTATATTTCCCCTTGGCTAATCCACCCTTGTCAGGACTATTTGTGAATGGAACAGGGTGACACCACTAGGATTTTTGGAGGGCTATGGGAGGTGTGCGTGGAGGAGCTCCTTTGGTTATATTTAAGCTCTCTTGCCCTGTTGGAATGTTTTCTCAATCTTACACATAAGCATAAAATTTGTCAGTGCAGCACAAGGATGAATAGTTCAGTAAATAATTCAGTTGTTATTTTCCCTGGAGCGTCAGAGGCTGAGGGGTGACCTTATAGAGAGGTTTATAGAATCATGAACTGCATGGATAGAGTGAATAGTTTAAGGTTTTATCCCCAGGATAGGTGAGCCCAAAACTAGAGGGCACAGGTTTAAGATGAGATGGGAAAGATTCAGAAGGGACCCAAGGGGCAACTTTTTCACAGAAAGAGTGGTGCGCGTATGGAACAAGCTGCCAGAGGAAGAGGAGGAGTCTGGTACAATTACAACATTCAAAAGGCATCTGGATGGGTACATGAACAGGAAGGGTTTAAGAGGGATATGTGCCAAATTCTCGTAAACGGGACTGGATTAATTTAGGATATCTGGTTGACATGGACAAGTTGGACCAAAGGATCTGTTTCCTTGCTCTACATCTCCTACGATCTAACCTGCACACCGACACTATGGGCAATTTAGCACGGCCAATCCACCCAAACCTGCACATCTTTGGACTGTGGGAGGAAACCGGAGCACCTGGAGGAAACGCGCAGAGACACGGGGATAATAAACTCCACACAGACAGACGGTTGCCGGGGGGTAGAATTGAACCCGGGTTCCTGGTGCTGTGAGGCAACGGTTGCTAACCACTGAGCCACCAGGCCGCCATGTTGGGCGCAGCAGAATCCCACAAACAGGGAGGTGGCAGTAACCCGTTTCGGTGATGGCGGTGGTGAGGACTTCACTTAACTATCTTGGTTGCAGGACACCAGGGAAATGGCGCTTATCTTTATTTCTCAAAACAAAAAGGCAGCCACAGGGATAGTTTTCAAACCACCACTGGGGGCCTCAATCTTGGGTCCCATCTGAAAGATGGCCGCTCCCTCAGTAGGGACCCTCCAATACTGTGGCTGGGGGGTGATGAGGGAATGGAGCTCAGCGAGGCAATGGGAGGGAACGTGAAGGAGACAGACTACAGCAAAAGGTGACAGGAAGTTGTCTAAATTGGGCTGCGCCCCTTAGCTCTCTCTCTCTCTCTCTCGAGTGTTCCTGCGGATCGTCTCAGAATAAAAAGCTGTTTGGAGCATGGCCATGAAAGCTTCATCTCAAAACGCTGTAGTTCACTGCCGGGTTCCCAGGGCAACAGGAGATGCCGCGCAAAAAAAAAGGCAGCTCTCACTGAGAAAGCCAGCCAATTAAAGACTCCCAGTTCACCCAGAAACTGGGTAACACGGTTAGCCTTCACCAGGAAGGTGTCAAGATTGGTCAGGGCTGGGCAGGGGAGAAAATAAATAAAAGAGAGGAAGGAGGGGAAAGACAGGAAGGAGGAGGGGGGGGAAAAAGAGAAGAAGAGAGAGAAAAAGAGAGGAAGGAGAGATAAAAGGATATATGGACATGGTGGATTGGTCATAGAACAGAGAACAGAGAACAGATTGGAACATAGAACAAGTACCGGCTGTGAAAGGGAAGCAATACTGAACCAGTTGAAAGAGGCAAAACCCAGAGGGGGCACTTCTGTGGGTCCCAGTGTTTTTAAATTCCCGAATCTGTTTGCGAGTCAAGTACACCTTCACATGGGGGAGTTCAAAACTGAGTCCCTCCCACCATGGGGAGGTCTGGCGCTGATCCTGTAGGGTTGTAAGCACTTCAACTGCCATAGCCCAAAATAACACAGATCTACAAACAAACACAGGAGGAGAGCGGGGAGTGTCTAGCCCAGCACTTCCACACTAGGCCTCACACTGCAAGTTATCCCTTTTAGTCTGACTACACAGCGACTGGTGGGATTTCAATCTAATTAAATATAACCGTGAATAGCTGCGAGACCCCTTTAAAAAGGGGGGTGGAATCTGCCATCCTCACTCGGGCTAGCCTACACATGACTCCATTCCTGCAGAGGTGTGCTTCACTCTCAACTGCCCTTTGAATGGTCTGACGCATCTAACTCATTTTGAGGGCAATTAACGAAACAATAAATAAATAAACAAACAGACTGGGGGTGGAGGGAGGAGAAACTGATCCCTGTCCTGAACTTTTGGCATTTGCAGGCCAATCGAACTGGATCGAAGTTGCTGGGACTGTCGTTGATCTGGTGAGGAGCCTCAGACTGGCTGCTATTTCCACAGTAGGGTCGGTCAGGATCAGGGCGCTGGCCCATGCTCACACAGAATCAGAGCTGGTAAAGCGATAGGTGTCGCGGCTGCTGACCTCTGACCCACTCGTGTCAGTCATCAGTTAAAAGTTGTCCAAAAAAAAAAAAGCCCTTTATACCATGGTACGTGTTGGTGATGGGCGTGGGGGGAGCGGACACACGGACACACGGACACACGGACACACGGACACACGGACAC